AGAATTACATAAATGTGCATAAGACACTTAAATGTAATTTGTTGGAATTAATTTGCATAAGAATTACCTATTAAATTGTTACAACTAATTGATAAAGTTATTAAGAGAATTTAATTTTCATTTTTTAATAAATAAATTAAAAAGTCAAAAGTCAAAAAATTAGATGACACATGACAGCCTCTCATAACTTTGGTTTTGAGAAATCTTAAAATATTATATTAGATATGTTACCACATTTGAGCCTAACTTTCGCATTGGTGAACATGCATGTGATACTATACACATTAACATATTTAGCCTAGATTTGTAGCTAATTTTTAATGGAAATGGCGTATTAATTAGTATCATTCTTGAGTCTAAATTTAAATTACTATCCTAATAAGATCATTTTAAAATGGGCACTTGTATATGTTTGATCAAATCTAGACTAATATTTATGATCAGATTCACTTGACAAGTGTTAGGTGTTTTGTTTGGTTGGATTTATGGATTATAATCCAGACTAATCGTCAATGAATCTAGCTAGTCACCAGCTTGAGTTCTATAGTTGCAACTTGCATGGCACTTTTGCATCTAATAAACATTATCTCATATCTACCTCGATTCAACCATCAACAAATTAGCTAGATAACATTGTTTAGCCTGTTATTTTCAAAATTTATACATAATTTTAGGTTACTTATATACAGAGAACACTAAATAAAACTGCATTTCATCTATGTGTTTGTGTGTATTCAGATCTTAGGAATATTCAGATGAGAAAGTTCAAAACACATGCTAAAATACAAGTGATTAATAAATTATCGACAAACATCAATTTGTATCAAAAATATAGCAGGAAAAACGCTAGAGTACAATATAAATTACCTTATATTTGTTTTGTGTCCCCCTTATTTGTGAACACATCAAACATTAATTGTTTCTATAATCTAATTTCACATATGGTGATCACTTCCTCTACTTGTACTACCCTCCGAGCCGAGAAGCCTCGACATATTAGCCGTTGTACCGGTATTACCTCGGTTGAATTGGACTGGTGAAATCCGGTTATTAATGTTACTACCACCATTGTTGCTACTACTACCATGTAACAATGAATATAAAGTCGAAATGTTCTGTGAAGACGAAGATGAAGAATCACCCATTAGTGGCAATCGAAAATGGCTTACCATTTGCCTCGGATCTATTGTCTCCATAGTCCCGGAACCAGCTGATGAAGACGATGGAAACAAAGATTGTATAGTTGTTGTTGTTGATGTAGTCATTGGACATACCAAAATTTGTGATGGAAATGGGACAAGACTGTGTA